TTTGTTGCAGATCTTGCCGAAGACGGTTCGAAGGCAGGATTCTACCATGACTGTTTGCATTGTATAAAGAAGACAAAGAGATGAAGGAACAGCGAAAGAAAGGTTTGTAGGTCCTCACACTTTGATATCAGAGCTGTCTTGGAAGCCATTTTGTACATACCACTGTCTTCTCTCTCATTCTCAATCGAGTGCATACATCAGCCAAGATGATGTTCCTCGGAGGTATCCTGAAAGCCATATTGGCAGCAACAGCTGTTGCTCCGGTGATCGGCCTTGCTGTCCCACCCTCCTCGGATGATGTCCTCATTCAGCGCCAATCTGGGGGCGATAAGCTGGTTTTTTGTCACTTCATGGTAATTATCTCAAGTCTCAGTCATCTTTAGTGGTACTAACCGCCGTCCACAGATTGGTATCGTCGGTGCTCGAAGCTCTGCCAGCGAGTATGACGCCGATATGCAGCACGCCAAGGCAGCTGGCATTGACGCTTTTGCCCTCAACATTGGTACAGACTCTTACAGCGAAGCTCAGCTGGACCTCGCCTACCAGTCAGCTGCCAACAATGGCATGAAGGTCTTTATTTCCTTCGACTTCAACTGGTACGGAGTCAGTGAGGCGACTCGCGTTGGTCAAATGATCGCAAAGTACGCGTCCCGGCCGGCACAACTTATCGTCGATGGCAAGGTCTTCGCTTCATCCTTTGCCGGAGACGGTATGGATGTCGCAGCCATGCGCAGCGCTGCTGGTGTCAGCGTCTTCTGGGCACCCAACTACCACCCAGAGTACGGCACGGACTTCAGCGTTATCGATGGCGCCTTGAACTGGCTTGGGTGGCCCAACAATGGCCGGAACAAGGCACCCGATGGCTACGGAAATGTCACCGTCCAGCAGGGAGATCAGGCTTACATTGCTGCACTCAAAGGAAAGCCTTACGTTGCGCCGGTGTCCCCTTGGTTCTTCACCCACTTCGGTCCAGAGGTCCCCTACTCAAAGAACTGGGTCTTCCCATCCGACACCCTCTGGTATGACCGCTGGCAGGAAATCCTGACCCTTAAGCCCCGCTTTCTTGAGATCGTCACCTGGAACGACTACGGCGAGAGCCACTACGTAGGTCGTCTTGACAGTCCCCACGGGGATGATGGCAACTCGAAATGGGTTTATGGATTTCCCCACAACAGCTGGCTCGACATGGCAAAGCCATTCATCAATGCATTCCACAACGGTGGGAGTGACGTTAAGCCGTACATCTCAGAAGATCAGATTGTCTACTGGTTCCGACCTACCCTCAGAAGCCTCAACTGCGATGCCACAGATACCACCATGGCGGACGCTAACAACGTCTCTGGCAACTACTTCAAGGGTCGTCCGTATGGCTGGGAGACTATGCAGGATAAGGTCTTCGTTGTCACCCTTCTGAAGGAGGCAGGCTCTGTGATCATCAATGTCGGAGGTACCAGCGTAACAGTCCAAGCACCCGCTGGCGCAGCCAAGTTCTCCGTTGACATGAAGCCCGGCGCTATCTCATTCAGCCTGACTCGTGGGGGCTCTACGGTGCTCTCCGGAACAGCTGGGATGCAGATTCTCGACCACTGCCCCTGCGGTACCTACAACTTCAACCCCTATGTTGGAACCATTCCGGCTGGTCAGCCTGATGAGCTTCTGCCCGCAGCATACTCGTCCATCTACGCTGGCTTGAAGGTCAGCACCTGTGGTCCCACGGGCATGAAGCGCACTGCTGCAGCCATTGCCGATATGGCTGTTCCTGCCATGGCAGCCCCCACTGCCTAACTGACAACCATGGAGGTCGAGTTTGGGAAGCTGACGGCTTGAGGGTTATGTCCGAAGAATCGGAGTTTCCAAGGTTCATGTATGTATTGATCGACTATTATGGAACATCGTCCAGCTGGTAAACCATACTCACGGCTAGTTACTTATGCGTTGAAAGACTCGCCGGGCCGGCTTGAACATGAGAAGGACAGCTACCCTGTAAATAAGAGAACATTCACCACATCGACGAACACAAATTGAGTTCAGGTCACGTCTAGCCGTCAATGGTAGATAAACCTTGCATGTGTCTGCGTTTGCATTCTTGACCGAGATCTTAGTGCCGTTTTGGCGTCCCAAGAGATCTAGCTAGGGTCTGTGCCATGATAAGGTGATCGAAATGTCCGAGAATTGGCTCTTTCTGGGCAAGGGCGGTGCCCTCAGCAGCTCATTCAATGCTCAGCTTCAGCCATAACGATTCAGCCGCAGATTAGGGCTCCCTTGGTGCTTCAGTATAAGTACCTATGCATTGAAACGAAGGCGGTTTTCCAATTTCAAGCAGGCTCATAATTCAGATATCGGGTGCACTTCACATGATGGCTGGCTCCCTGTATCCTGTCACAACAGAGACAGAGCTTGTCACTCAGGCTTATCGTCCAAGATCCACAACCAACGCCCCTCTGTGGTACCTGATCTACAACTCTCTCCTCATAGCTCTGAGCATTTTAGCAATTGCTATCTGGGGCTTCAGTGCCCATGCCCCTCTCCCCCACTCTTTCCATTTTGGCCAATGGTTATTGGCGAACCCGAAGAAAAGCACTATTATTTGGACTGCGTGTGGGACGATTGTCGCGGCGATCCTCCTTTTCCTTCTCAATAGTGTTCTGTTTCTGATGGTTAGGCAGAAGGCCCGCGTGGGATCAACTTTGTCTACTATTGAAGGCAGGGTTTCTTCCTGCACTCAGCTGACGTATGGCTTGCTAACCATGCTACTTCTAGGATGGAACAAGTGCGCGAATCAGAAACCTTTTTTGGACATCAAACGTCCTTGGTTATCTGGCTTCACCACAGTCAACTGGGTCATTGCGCTGCTTTTTACTACCGCCTTTACAACCCTTCTAACCCCAACCAGAGTTCTTGTCAGCGATTCTCTTGTGGGAGACGAACTCGACTTTACCGCACCTGAGTTTTGGCAATGGTACAGCACTTTTGACTCCAAAGGTATACCAAGGAGGAAGGTCTACGGCTGCACTAGGTATACGTACAACTCGTCGACCGGGTCAATTCGCTTTCCAACATGCCCCTTCGCGGATGATCCGATTGCCGTCATCTCTGCAGGGGTTTCCGCTGCGCAGGAGTCTTTCGGGGTTCCCAATGCCTCTGTCCGCGTCGTGGAAAGTTTGTTCAAGGGGTCAACAGGTGGTGTTCTCCCACTTGGACTTGAGGGAATCTCGGCCTTCAGCAATGTCAAATGCATGTCCTGGGACCCGTCCATGGCAAACTGATCCCAACAATTCAACTACTCCCTTACACAGCAGGGTCTATCGGCCGACTTGACCAGCCAGGAGACTCCAAACACCCCCATCCAGACCCAACTTCTGAAGTCGATGGAAGTGACGAATTCCAATGCTGGCGGAACGATGGAATTACGGCGCTTCATTGTCAATCGAGGCAATTGCGGATCTAATCACACCTTCGTAGTACCAGGGATCGGTGTCGTAGCTCCGGGTTTCTGTCAGCCCGATGCAACGGTGAAGAAATATGTTTTGTACCTGACTCCGATGGAAGATACTCGCGCGCTCCGCTGTCTCTTCCAAACATGACTTGCACTTTCGAACCGATGATCACCAAAAATATTGTGGTCTTCTCCACGGACATGGGGCTCTTTACGTCGAGCGTGATAGAAAGAATGGGCGGCTCAGGTATTCCGAACGAGACTGCCGACGCCATCAATTCTCTTTTCATGATATCAACAACTAGCTGGGTACGTCTTCATTCTTTGCGACTAGATTTTGCATGCTTGGATGGCTTTTCCAACGTATGCATTCACAAAACAGGGAAGCGGGTTGATCGATTCGATGCTCAGTCTGAACACGAGTGGAGATGGTTCAGGCAACTTTTCATGCTGGCGCAGTGCTTTGCTTATTGTTCTTCCCCTGATCGTCTACATCCTAGTTGGGCATGGTGGTACACCTGGACTGGGTTAAGGACGGGATCATCAATCGATGATGAGTTCAACCCAACGAACAGCACTGCACTAGTGACTGCTGCTGACGCAGGCGCTTCAAGTGGGAAGTTGGGGTTGGATGGCAGAGGGGGGCTCAATGACCAGTTGGTTCAGGAAGTACGTATCCGATACGTTGGCAAGACGGGACTAGTGACAATGGATCAAGTGGAGAGTGACAACAACTTGGGTTTGAGGCTTTTGGGGACTGAGACGTCGTATCGAACTGAACCATTTCCTTGAGGTAAACCCGGTTTTGCATGCAATTACAACCTTCCTTGACAAGAGGCGCGACCAAAAACACCACCCGCTCAACTTGAATCGTGTTCTCCTGTTTAGAATCTGGGCTCAAGTAATCCCAGTAATATCCAATTGTAACTGATAAGCGGAGTGGGGCTAGGGATTCATTGACAGATTAGCGGAGATAAGACCTCGGCAGATTGCTGGTCTCCCCATCTTTACGGCTAAGAACTCCCCATTCGCATCTCATCGTTCTCGAGGTAATCAATCTCATGTCAGATCGACATTTTGACGCGACAAAAACCAAGAACATCTCGCTCTAAAGGTCAGCCCCTTGATGTCAGCTCTCGGCGCCGAAGACGGAGCCGGTCCAGATGCCCCACTCGCTGCCGAGACGGCCGGCAGTCGGGTGTGGCAAGCGTGCCTTGCGTGCCGGCGAAAGAAGGTATGATCCAAGACTAAAGGTTGACACATATATCTGGATACTGACATGCATGTTAGATCAAATGTGATGGCAAACAACCTTGTCACAATTGCAGCTCCCGAGACCAGACTTGCGAGTTTCCTGGAACCAAAGACAATGCGTCAGCAAGCCGGTAGTAAGTGACATCAGGCATGGAACCTTGCATTGGAACTTCATAACAGCGACATCATCCGTATTAACTGCCAACTTGCTAGTTATACCACGTCGTTTGAGGCCCGGTGTCAGCAGATGGACTCCCTGTGTCAGAGGCTAGAAACTCTTACAAGCCAGTTATCGCGATCGCTGGAGGCCATGCATCAGTCACCCGGAGCCGGCTCTTTGGCAAGCCCAAGCGAGGACCTACTGAGGGCTGCCCAAGTCCTCAACTCTCTGCCCAACGTTCAAGAGTCTATACTGGGGCTCCGAAACGCCTCTCATGTGCAAGGCCCTGAGACTGGCAATATGGATGCCAACATACATGCAAACCGAGTACTGGCCCCACTGCGCGCTCGCCAATCTCATGTCAACGACGACTTGCTGGACTCGTCCGACAGCGACGACTCCGACACAAATAATGATCAACGTCAGGATGGTCCCGCTGAAGGACGCAACGACGATGGAATCGGCCAGGTCGGTGCCTTGGTTCGTGATTCATATGGCCGTCCCAGGTAAGTCGCTGAATCGCATTCTTGTAGTCAAAATCTCACTTTCAGATCAGGTTCATCGGTGGAGCCACACACAACATTCTCATAGAAGCTGCAAAGAGCCTGCTGCCTGCTGGTTTGACAACAACCCCTTCATCAACTGGGGCGAGCCAAAGTGTGCTGAGCACCGATGACCTCGAACTTCCCCTCTTCGTCCGTGGGAAAGTGTGGCCCGAGCTGCCCTTCATACCAAAGCCGGAAGACCTTCCTCGACCTCCGCAGTACATTGCAGATCTTCTTATCAGTCTCTACTTTGACAAACTGCACTACACCTTTCCGGTTCTCTTCAAGCCCCACTTCATGAGACGCTACCAAAAGTTGCTGAAAGCTGGTCGTGATTGTTCTTCCCCCAAACATCGCCGTTTCTTGATGGTCTTCTTCGCTGTTTGTGCGTGTTCATCCAGCCTCCTCCCATCGAACTCGAATAGCGAGCTTCCTGGGATCGAATACTATCAGAGAGCACTACTCATGTTTTACGCCTCCACTGGCGAAGCGTCACTTGAGAGAGTCCAATGCTTAGCATTACTATCAATGTGCTCCGCTGGATGGAACACTTTGTCGCAAAGTTGGAACTTGGCCGGCCAAGCAGTAAGAGCTGCCCAAGATATGGGATTGCACTTAAGTAGCCGATCGGTGCGTCTTCCATACTCCCGTGTCTTCAGTCATCAAGTTGCTGACGACAGAAAGATACTATCACTGGCACCAGAACTGTCGGAAAACAGACACGCCGAGTTCCTCCGACTTCAAGTGTCCCGCCGCATATGGTGGTGTGTATACACCCTTGATAGGTACATCTCCTGTCTACACCTTACTGCATGTTTGACCTGCGCTGAATCTTAACCTCCAGAATCACATCTATCTGTCTTGGCCGTCCAATGGCTGTCCAAGACGACGAGTGTGATTGCGAGCTGCCTATGGACATGAAAGATGAGGACTTTGAACCCTACTACCTGAAGTCCAGAACATACCATCCACCCAAGGTTGACATTCCATCCGAAGGACCATGCATCATGAGTGGTTTCCTCGCGTTCGCCCGCCTCTCCCGACTGGCTGGCAAGATTCAGCACCTCAATTCGCCCCTGAACCTTCGGAAACTCGCATCTGCGGACTCCGCCAAGACACAGAGATTTCTTTCCCGCGTTGATACGTACGATCAGGCTCTGCGAAAGTGGCTCGCAAGTCTGCCACCGCACATTCAGTTCTCAGCCAACAGCATGGAAAAGAGTCCTGGGGGTGATCCTGCCTTGGTAATGTGTGTCATTATCTTTATACTGCATGCAGGTTCTCTCCTAAACTTGTATCGGTACGTGTGTTCCGACAACCTACTGTCGTATCCGAAGGTCTCCAAACTGATCAGCCAAGGTGTTTCTTGAATTACCCTAAACGCGCCGCTCTGGATGAGGAAGTAGACATATCAGGTGCCATATCTCAATGCGTGAGTGCAGCACAAATGTGCATTCATGCTGCGGAAATTGTCCGAGACTTGGTGCCTACTTCACATTATCTGGCTCTCTCAATTCACTATATGACGCTCTCTGGTATCGTGCTGTAAGTCCAGTCCCCCACCTGAGCTCAATTCTCTTGAAGTGTGATCGCTGATGCGCAATATGAAAACAGCCTACGGATGCCTTCAAGTCACTCTAACCCAGAGGTTTTGGATGATGTGAAGAAATGTGTCTCGTTTTTGAAGGATGTTGAAGTTCGCTGGTCTGGCGCGAAGCGAAGCCGGGTTATCATTGAGCAGTTGCTACAGCACCAGCGAAGCAAGCTGGCTCTTGAACACAATACTCGCCAAAGCCAGACCAGTATTTCACCGGTTCAATCCAAGAGGAACACCAACAAAAGAACGCTGGATGACTTTGAGGGGACGAACACTCCCCGAACTGGAGGTGAAAGCTTTCTGTGGGGCGAAATACCTGGGTCTGAGTTATTTCCATTCGATCCTTTGGATCCAGTCTTATTCTCGTCTTGGGATTGATGCAGGCGCTCTTGGCTAAGTAGCATGACGAACTACTAGATGTAGTTGATCTTGAGACTGCTAAATTTTCTCATGTCTACCCGGCTATTCCCTATTTCCTCAGTAGACCTGAAACCTTCCTTCGATCAAGACCGAATGTGAATGATATCCAGTCGAGACGATCATACCGACGAATACAAAAGTTGTAGGTATGACGATAGCAATAATGATTCAGGTCTCCGATAAGAGAAAAAAGGTACATGTCAGCGACGACGACGACGACGACGACGACGCTATGCACCGAGTACACAGAATGGGTGGTTGCTCTAGCACAAGAAGATAGGTGGTGTCTTTACATCTGGTTAAAAATAACTATCTTAATGTCCCTTCTGGCATGCTGCGCCTCAAATGCCTCATTTGCCTGGGTCAGGGGGTACGTGGACGTGATCAGCGGTTTGAGATCAACCTTTTTCGTAGATAATAGACTAATGGCATCCTCGAAGCACCCATGAGTATACCGAACGGTTCCTGCGAAGAGTATTTGTCAGCAAAGATTCAAGTAAGGAGCTTCGCATAAGCCTACCCTTTACGTCAAGTTCATTGGCTGTGATCAAGAAAAGGGGCAACGATGCCATCGGCCTTCCCAGGCCCGCCTGTATACCTGATATCGATCAGCATGACGGGTGTTCACGAGAGTCGGCATGCGCAACTCACATGTTCCGCCTGCTCTTAGCATGCAAATTGCCATCGTGGCGCATATCTCAGCGCCGCTAGCCTCGATAGCAACATCAAAGCCGTATCCCAAGCCGTACTTGTTGATGACCTCCCTGGCGTAATATTGAGAGAAGGACAAGTCATCTTGAGAAGGGTCGCTATTTCTTGGCGTGACAATTCCGACATCAGCTCCATAGGACTCGGCAAACCTCGTTCGAGATTCTTCAATGTCGAACATCACGATCTTCTTGACCCCATAAGCTTTCGCAACCGCTAGAATCAGGAGGCCAAGCGGTCCGCACCCACTGTCGCCTGTCAGCATCAAGATTGACAAGGCCACAAGAATGTTTCTCGAGGGACTGAGTACAGCTCTGGGTTTTACTCACAAAATAGCCAGGCTTTGACTCGGATTCAGCGATGCCCTTCTCGCAACCTGAACCGCAATCGCTAGCGGCTGGATCGACCCCGCCTCCTCCCATGAGACATCCTCAGGAATGGGAACCGTGTTAGAAGCCCGGCAGGTGAAGTATTGACTTAGAGTCCCGTCAGTGGGGTCCATCCCGCAGTACTTCAATCTAGAGCAGATATTCTGCTTTCCCCGTCCGCAAAACTCGCACCTGTGGCCAAAGGCAGGCTTAGTTAGACTCAGTGTCTACAACGAAGATTTTTGTCAGGGACATCCCATACTCCCTGCATGAAAATCCGGGCTCGATTGCCACGCGCTGGCCGACAAATCTGTCTATAACATTCTTTCCGATGGTCTTGATGAGACCTGCCGACTCGTGGCCCAGGATCAGTTCACGGGAGACATTGGCACTGTCCCAGTTGTGGCAATCCGACCCGCAAATACCGGTGGTGATGACTTCGACTAAGACCTCGTCGTCGTTCGGTACTCGTATAGGTTGCTGTTGGATTTCGAGTTTTCTGACACCTGCCCACACAACGGATCGATTTGAGTATGGTAAAATATCAGCCATGTTTTGATTGTTCAGAGCATCGGCCATGGCAGTATCTAAGGTTCAAGAAGACCTCAAGGTGATTGCTGTGTTGGCTTTTTGTATATATAGCATACATCTGTTTATATCTCAATGCTTTTGAGATCGACCTCTGCTCCATCTTTTGCCACTTCTTCATCATGAAGCCAACAATGCTTCATGATGCGTTTGGCAAGTCTCGGCTCGGAGCCCGGCCCGGCCTCTCCTTATCGGCTTGTTGTTGAGTGGGTCCCATACATCGAGGTTGGTGGATGTTCATAGCACATTGAATACGGTAGTCTTCGCCTACGAGTGACATTACGGCTTTGGCGTAGTCGTCCTGCAGTTTCCCTTTTACCCGTCGCTATTACGGGCTGAGTAGGCTACCAGTCCAAATATCAGTTCGACAAAACTTCAAGCAATCAGCCAGATAAAACAACGCGTTTTTATACAGACACTTTGTGAAGACGATTGGAGAAAAAGTGCTCTATGAAACTCAGGGCAGGGCTAATTAATTGTACTCGGTGGCCGTTTTGGGGTCTTCCGGTGTATCCAAATTTCCGTTGGTGCCATTCACCTCCTTCGGCTTGTCCCCGTCAGCCTTCGTAGACACCAGGCTCTTCAGCTTTCCCATTTCAATAGACATCCATGCGGCGATGGCAACGATGTCCGCTCCGCAGTTCACGAAGTGGAACCCTTGTTTATACTTGGCCGCCGCAACATCAGCACTGAGTGCGAAGTGCCCAACGTATTTCCCCGCGTCAAGTCCAGCCTTCAGAACACGAGCAATAGCTTCCTGGACCTCGGGGATTGAAGCATGATCAAATGCCACATAGCCCATTGAGGCCGCGAGATCGTTGGGCCCGATAAACAGCATGTCAACCCCGTCAACCGCAGCAATCTCGTCCACATTATCCACGGCCTTTTGGCTCTCTATTTGCACGCAGACCATGACGTTATAGTTCGCGCTGAGTAAGTAATCTCGACCGGTTTGATTGAATGCGGAGTGCGCGAACATGGCACCGGCTCCGCGAAGACCCTGGGGCCATCGAGCTGATCGGTACTTGCATGCCCGAACAACAGCTTCCGCTTGTTCCTAAGGAAATCGTTAGCCTTCAATGGATAACAAACATTCCTCCTTCTAACCTTTGTCTCACACATCGGAACCATGATTGCATGAGCACCACAGTCCAGTGCCCTCTTCATCATCCAGTGCTCTGATGCAGGTATCCTGACGATGGGTGACACCCCTGAAGTCGAGATGGCACCAACCTGAAGGTACATGTCTCTATCGTCGATATTTCCATGCTCTGTATCGATAAGAATCCACTGTCAAAGTTTGTCAGATTATTGCGAACATTTCAATCCAGAGATGTAGATCCAGAAATACTCAGTCACTTACATCCTCTCCCAAAGGCGCTACTGTCCTTGCTAGGGAGTAGCCGGGGAACTCAAGCCATTGACCAACGCTCGGGCCTTCGCCTCGTTTCGCCCTTTCAAGCGATTCCCTCAATCGTGTCTTGCCTGTCGCATCAACAACAGGGGACTTGAGTTGGTTTGCCATGGCTTTGAATGTACTTCAATCGGGCAATCAAAAGTGTTTCCAAAAGACGAGCAAGTTTTCCCTTGATACAATTGACTACGGCTACGCATTTCCGTCTTTCGTTGATCTTCTTGACACTGAGTATTTGGCGCAAGCTGCTGTCATGAGGGGTAGCTTCGGCCGGGTCCCGGGCCGCTGGCGACTCTGGAGCTGGAAACAATTGGCTAATCGATCATAGGATGTCTGGGGTGCGACGATAAGTTCCCATGTCAAATCAATGCCAAGTGCGCCAATCATTATCGCATGCCTCCGCCTATCCATGGTAAACCGGGCTATCTCCGACATCGCCACCTGACCGGCCTGATCGGGGGAGATCCGGCCGAAGCGTCAACGCGTCGTGTAACGGACACCAGGCCCCCTACAGGTGCGCGCTGATAAGGATGGAGAGATATGCGGTGACCGCAACTCACATTGTTGTTGGATATAAGGAAGCAGCCATTTCTCAGTGGGGTATTTTCGGTAGTTTACATAGTCGAATTACAAACAACAGTTCACCTCCCGCCTCTGGCGACGATCCTATTGAGGGCATCGTTGTGATTCCTCCATTCCGCCTTGTTGACGCCAAGATGTCTTCCGAACCCGACATCAAGAAGAATGACGAGTTAGATGTTAACGACAAGCCCAACGATGTTATCGAAGGCACCATCGAAGATGCGACTGAATACTCCGACTCCTACTTCCGGAAGTTGCGCTTCAAGATCGACTTGTTCCTCCTGCCGTTGATGTGGGTTTGCTATGGCACCCAACAGGCCGACAAGACATCTCTCAGCGTGCAGGCGGTATTCGGCCTTCGCGAAGACACCGGATTGGTTGGCGAGCAGTTCAACTGGCTGAGCACCATCTTTTACCTGTCTTACTTGGTGTGCGAGTTTCCCGGTAACTGGCTGATTCAGAAGAGTCATACTGGAAAGTTTCTTTCCGTTGTGATGATACTATGGGGCGTCGTGGTTCTCTGCATTGCGTTTGCAAAGAACTTCGCACACCTCATGATTCTTCGCACCGTCCAAGGCGCTTTGGAATGCACGATTTCACCAACTTTCATGCTGATCACGGGAGCTTGGTATACCTCGCAAGAGCACACACTGCGGTCTTTGATCTGGGGAACATCCAATGCCGGGATGAACATCATCACCGGCCTGTGCATGTATGGGATCGGATTGCATGCACAGAAAGACCCCAATGGTCTTGTAAAGACTTAATATCATGGACTGACATCTATCTTGCAGTGGAAAGGAATCTCCTTCTTCCTCGGCAGCCTGACCATTGCATGCGGAATCCTTGTGTGGTTCATTCTCGGTACACCTCGTGAAGTGCGATGGCTCAATGAAGATGAGAAGAAGGCAGCAATCGCTCGTGTGGTTGCCAACCAAACCGGGTCCGACAAGAACAAACGTTCCGAGTTCAAGTGGGAGCAAGTTTGGAGCACTTTCAAGGGTACGTCACGGTTTCGTCAGGAAATTGTGCATTATGGAAACCCTTCAGGCTGACGAGACAACTTTGACAGATCCGCAAACCTACTTCTTCTTTTTCGTGACCATCATCAACGCCCTACCGAACGGGGCAAATACCACATTTTCAAAGTTGATCTGGAAGTCGTTCGGCTTTTCAAATTTGGAGACTCTCCTGAAGGGTTCTACTCCTTACTACTGTGTTAGCATCTGCTGGTTCTTGGTCGTCGGATACGTCACCCTGAAAAAGCCCAACCTCCGATGTAAGCGCCCAGAGTCTTGATTCCGAGTTGCTACTGACAACCTCAAGTCCTGATGATGATGTTCTCCCTGGTGCCTGCCTTCAGCGGCATGATGGCTTTGGCTCTGCTCCCAACCGACTCCATGAAGTGGACTAGATGGGGCATGTACATCTTGCAAGTATTCGGATCGCTGCCTGGTCTTAGTGAGTAGTATCACGTACCCAATCCTTCGACCATAACTGACCTTAATGCAGTGATATGGACCTTCTTGCCGTCCAACGTCGCCGGCAGAACGAAAAAGACCGTCACATCAACGATTCTGTTTGTCGCTTATTGTGTTGGCAACGCTGTGGGAGCTCAGATGTTCGTGGCCTCAGACGCACCCAAGTACATTAGGGGCCTTACTGCTTGTGCTGTTCTGTATTGTGTTGAGTTCTGCAGCATGGGGGCATGGCGGTTCTACTGTAAGTCAAAACCTACTACAAGTTGCGGTGTAAGATGAATGCTAACAAATGAACTCAGACATCTGGGAGAACCGAAGACGCGCGAAGGTCATTCGTGAACAAGGCATCTCTGAGGAAGAAAGTGAGCGACTTGGCAAGCTAAATGCTGAAGCTGATATGACCGATCGGGAGAACATTCATTTTAAGTACAAGTACTAGAGACTGCCGTGGCGGGAGCGTTGGTCCTCCGCAAATAGCACCAATTCTGGAGATTTAGTATCATCTCAGCGCATGAAATGAAAGCATAATTGTTACAGCCTGGTCTCTGGGGAAGGGACACGGCATAATCTTCCGTTCTGCGTCTGCACGCCCTGGTCCCCGTCCAACACAGTCCATCTCTCGCTCCCCACCGCAGTGACTGCATAGAAAACATCATTGGGATCCCACTTTCTCTTGATCTGACTAAGTCTTGGGTAGTTCCCTCCATAGAAACTCTCCTGCCAGTCAGACTCCTCGACACTGGCTTCGTTGAGGTACGTGCCGCCTCCTTCTGAAACCGGGGAAATATCGCGCCATGGTTGAAGGACCTTCTCTTGGAGATACCTGTTCTGAGAAGCCAGAGCGGCGGGAGTCGAGTGATCAGCTGTACGGTTTGAAGAGGTCACCAGAAAAAAGACCATTTGGCGGAAGGCGGGGTTGACGGCATTGTTCTGGTTTCCGACACTGGGGCCTGCGTTACTAGGGGCGTTGTGATAACCCAGAAAGTGCTTGCCGGATGAGACGTGGGATTTGATGAGAGTATAGGTCGCCTCATATTTCTCGACAAAGTTTCGGCGGGGCACCAGTCGATTCGCGGGAAGCGACGTGTTAACACCAACGGGAAACTGGTTTGCACCCCACGTTGCCTGGTAAGCCGAGTAGAAAGACGTATGTGCCGTGGACTGATGTGGTACTGATAGAGAGATGTTGTTGGCCTCGAGATATTCGAAAAAAGGCCTTACAACCTCGTTGTAGGAGTCCAAAGTGTGGTTAGGGGCAAACATGTAGTTCATGCTGAGCTGCGGCGTAGGCCACATAATGTAGAAGGAATACAGACCGGCGTCAGTCCAGTTGAGGAATTCGTCGTAGAATTTTCTCGCGCCTTTCCAGAACTGGTCGAGACTATTGTTGGAAGTATCAAGCGTCCACTTTGCCGTCACGACGTTTATCCGAGGATGGGCGCGAATGATGACTGATGTGATGACACCAAAACTCCCACCGCCACCACCACGAAGAGCCCAGAACATGTCGGGATTCTCCTGTTCAGATACGGTTCGGAAACGGCCATCAGCTGTCACTATCTGAAAAGCGACAACGTGGTCGGCGGCCATTCCGTAGATACCGGCAAGTGGGTTCTGACCTCCCCCGGTGATCATGCCGCCAGCGTACCCCACGCTCTGTCATGCTATCAGTGGCTGGTTTGATTGACAGTTAAGGGACAGAACCTACCCAAGAAACAGCACCTAGGACAGTAACGTTGTTCTTTTCAGCAACCTCGTAAACCTCTCTGACACTAACGCCCGCGGCTAGCTTCATAGCGGGACCAGAGTATCCAGGTCCCTCGTAATTGGGCAAATATTCAATGTCCTTCAAATTGTGCATCCACAAGCTAAGTGCACCGGCCCCCAACGATTTTCCAAGATAGCAATGCCCAGTGTTCTTGATCACCAGGCGCAAGTTGGCTGCACGAGCAAAATTGACCGCAAGCTGAATTTGCGCAACGCTAGTCACGTTTATCGCATACTCCGGGTAGCCTCCGATAGTACATTCGGAACCAGATGTCTCGTTCCTTGGCTGACAAGTGCGTCCTTGGAAGATGGGCCAGTAATTGGCAGTGGGGTCGGCGCTAAGGAAGTTGGCATTTGTAGAGTTCTTGATGATATTGGCGCACTCGATGTCATCTCTTGCACCCCATTTAGAGTCGTAACAGAGAGCTCCCAAAGGTTTTGTTGGGATCAGAGCTCCTCCGAGTAGTTGATCAAAGACGCCCCATACTTCATCTCTTGGCCAGCTTGGATCGCCAGGAAAAGCTTTGCAAGCTGCGCGTGCTTGAGGCTGAGTTGGAGGCGAGACAGGATCGTCTCCGAAGGTGAAGTAGGACGCGTACTCGGCTGTCGTCTCGCGATCGGCTATCCGAGTCACAACATCTTCGGTCAACTGCTGCACCTCCGTGCTTTGAAGATTTGCACCTGCGGCTGCTGTCGCGGCAACGACTTCCACGGCAGGCTTGATGCCTGGAACTGTAGCGGCGGCTCGAAGCGCGAAGTGCAGGAAGATAGAGCCAAGCATTAACGGGGACATGGCGGGCATCTTGAGTGATGAAGATGTATGAATCAAATGCCGAGACCACGGTAGGATGGCGTTTCCCTAGAGCTTAGTAGATTGATGACCGAAGGTTTCCCAAAGCTGAATCTGAGGGCATGTTGAAAGGGTTTGGCTTGCAACTGATCATCCCAGTAAACAGTGGCGACAGATTGATGTTGCGTGGAACGGCAATGTTGCATTCTGCCCTAGTTACGATAGTAATTGTTATTGGTTCCCTCGGTCTATGCCCATGAAGGCTTTGGGTGACCGCATGCATATTAGTGGGATGCTCGAGACGCGATTCGACCTGTTGTGGGTACGATCCAGGCCGACGGCAGCATAATTGCAACAAGAGACGTGATTGGATAGATTTAGGGCCTTCAAGGGAACATCAGGCTGCATGTCAGCACTATCCCACATTGCGTTCCGCTGGAATTCTCTCTCCGGCATCTCTTTTCCCGTATGCATCCTAACCACTAGATGGACGACGAGTTTGAGTCTTTGTGTTGCGTCACGCTTTCAGGACAAGTCACCTTCCATCGCCAAGAACTCCACTTCAAGAGTCCTCGCTAATGCAGCTTGACTGAGCCATGGAGTCTCAGCTCTGTCGAACTTGCGCGGGGGTCTTCATAGGGGAACAAGTCTTACGTGAAGATCGCCCGCACCATCAGTCAAGGAATGATGTCCTGCAGGCGGCAAAGAGTGGGTGTCATCTCTGCAGTTTCATAACTAAGAGTCTAGCCTTTGAGCTTTTCGACGGAAACCAACCGTTCAAGGCGAATTGGTATTTATCATACCCAAAAATGTCGACAACAAACAAGCCAAGGCTCCGCTTGACCATTGATGCAGGATGGGACGAGGAGGATGATGTTTCTGAGTCGAGCCAGGCGACGACTTTTTCACTAGACTGCAAGAATATCGATGGTCAGGGATATGTCAAGTTACCAAAGACAGGAACTGAGATGAAGGGACCAAACAAGTCAGGATTTGCACCGATATGGGGGTTTGAGATGGTCCCCACATCGAGTAAGTTCATTCTTAACACCTCGCAGGATTTGTCGGGATGCCTACTCATGCTTCTTAATAAGATGCGAGCTCATATGTGAGATCTTATGAGCCCCCTGCTCAGTTGGGAAGCCCCGGGTCGTGGACTCCAGTTCACAAGTGGCTAAAAGACTGCCTGAAGAATCACCAGCAATGCTCCAAGCATATCATCACGAATTATCGACCCACGAGACTAGTAGAAATCATCAACTCAACTACCGTTAGCGTTGTTGAACATCTTGATGCCAAAGCTTGTCCAGGTTACGCATCCTTCTCTCATTGTTGGGGACAAGCAAAGACGTTGAAGTTGCTGCAGGCGAATAAAGTCGACCTCCAGAATGGCATAGAAATAGCGACGTTGCCAGCAAGTTACAAAGAGGCGCTCGATGTCATGGTGGGGTTCGGCATCAAGTTCATCTGGATCGACTCGCTTTGCATCATCCAAGATTCGAAAGACGACTGGCGTGCCGAGGCAGCAACCATGTGCGATGTGTACCGCAACTCCTTGCTCAACATCTCCGCATGCGCCGCAGCTGAGAATTCAGAGTTGAGCTTCCAGAACCGAGACATAGGCACCATACGGCCAATGGAGATAACTCCGAGGTGGCGCGGCATCAAAAACGAGCGGTTTCTCGTGACCAACACCGATATTTGGATGCAAGAAGTTGAGGAGTCCCCGTTGTACCGCCGCTCATGGGTTCTGCAAGAAGCGCGCTTGTCCACCCGGAACTTGTGTCTCACACGCAATCAGCTCTGGTGGGGATGCCGTGGAGGAACTTTCTGCGAGACCTGGCCTGATGGCCTGCCCAATGACATGGACAACGCCAAAGGTCGTGAAAGATCATCAGCTTCCGGGGAGATCTTCACCCATTTTATGTGGTGCAGCTTGGTCGAGAAGTACACGACGTGCGGCATGACCGTTCTTTCCGACAGAATGATTGCCATCGCAGGGCTTGCAACTGCATATCACGAAGACTTTGCTGGCGACGAGTACATCGCTGGCATGTGGAGGTCCCAACTACCTCAGTCACTTTGCTGGGTTGCGGGTCCTGATGAGATGGTTCCGATGAAGCATCGGACCTCTGAGTATCGGGCGCCGTCATGGTCGTGGGCTTCGGTTGAGGGAGGGATATACTTCCATCACACCAGGTACGGCCCTGATGGTAATCATCCGACCTCAGTCTGCGATATTCTGGACATAAAGCTGTCAAAAGTAGGGCCTTCCCCCTACGGGGAAGTAGCCGGGGGTTTCCTACGACTTCGTGCTCCATTGGTCGAGGTCGAGGTTGGAGACGAAGCATTACGTTTCCAGGGAGCGGACGGGGGCTTTCACCACATACCGGGGACGGCTGAAGATTTGGACCAGGAGCGGTGGAACTTTGACCAGTACACGTCTGTTGTGCTTGACGAATACACGTCCTACATAGAGGCCATGATATCGCATATCAGCGCCCCAGCCATTGACTTGAGCAAGAGCGTCGAGTTTAATGGGGCAAAGAGGGTGACAAGGGTTGCAGAACAGTGGACTAAAGCCGATGGACGGCTATTCTGTGCTCCTGTTATTGAATGGAATAGTCCGGAAGGCAGCGAAGGCGCCGGCATAGTTCTTGTCCTTCCCAAGTCAGGGCCCGTCGGTTGCTATCAGCGAGTCGGCTCGTTCAGATGGAAGGGAGACAAGGTTCAGAGCCATCTACACAGTCTGAAGCTACGTGAGTTCAGCATTGTTTGATTAGACTCAAAGAAATCAATGGGACTTTTCCCTGGCAGCAGCCCACCGCTGAAATGCCAATCATCGGTCCTCGCTCTCTGGTGGACATGACGTGACAGGGATC